CTCTACCTTCCATTAGTATGAACATTTGCATGCAATACACAAGTAAATGAAATAAAATCAAATGTTTATGTGGCTCATGGGGTTGATCATTTCTCTGACCCCTGGACCCGTTCTGTCCTCAAGTGAAGAAGGGGTTGGTTCCATGTATATCCTTGGGAAGCCAGTGCCAGGATGGCTGCATTGAGCACTGATGAGCGAAACACAAGGGCCACTGCAGTGCTGGGTCTGAGCAGTGTTGGGCCTGAGGTTATACCAACATGTAAATTGGTTTGACTGAATTTGGTTAAATTTGTTTAATTAAGCAAAACTGCCCAAGGGGATCATTTATTCTTTGGGGTACTCGGCAGTTGTTTGACTGTTTCAAAGTTATGTAAAAGAAAAGAAGCATGACTTATCAGAAAGAGCTCTGGAGCTGGAGAGCCTACAAGCACCCCTTCATTGACAGCCTACAAGCACCCCTTCATTGACAGCCTACAAGCACCCCTTCATTGACAAATCACTGTGACTTTTCATACTCACTTCCTTCCGATATAATGGAGACAGGAACTGTGTCACAGGGTTGGGGCGAACCTTGATGTGATTTTGCATGAGAAAATACTTTGTAACTTTGTCCCCAAACCCGATGTCATTGAGTCGATTCCAACTCATAGCAACCCCTTTAGGACAGAGTAGGACTGCCCCATAGGGTTTCCGGGGCTATAATCTTTACAGGAGCAGATCACAGGTAGTTTTCCCATGGAGCAGATAGTGGGTTTGAACCATTGACCTTTCACTTAGCAATCAAGCCCTTAACCGGCACCACCAGAATTCCTTTGTAACTTTGTAGAACCCCACACATGAAAAAACAGCCACCCCACACATGAAAAAACAGCCACCCCACACATGAAAAAACAGCCAAACAAATCCAGACGCAGAGGGGCATGGAGTTAGTCATGAGGTCCCTGTGCCAGCACACCACAGACTAGAACTTACGTAGGGGATCCGAGCAGCCACCATGTCATCATACAAGTTGGCAATCTCTGTGTCATTCTGGTATCCATAGCGACACAGCTGAAACCCCAGGGACCAGTAAGGCACCATCACAGGCCTGCCGATCAGCTGGAAAACAGACAGTAATACTAGCCCTCAAAAAGAGGAAACCAAATTGAGGTTATACATAAGGTCATAAAGATGTTTCTCCAGTGCCCTGAACTAGGCCATCACAAATCCAAATCAGAGAGGTCAGGGGAAGGCAGAGCCCCTGGGAAGCCCAGAGGAGCCTCCTGCTACACCGGACACCCGTCCAGGCATTCTGGAAAACCTGATTTTCCTCGGACTCTACAGGCAGCCAAGCTTACTTGTCAAAAGCAGAGGCCCTGGAGGCAGAAGGCCTGGGTTGGCATATAGGCTCCTGTCCCTGGTGACTGTGTGACCATGGGCAAAAAGATAAACCTTTTGTGCCTAGTGTCTTCATCTTGTAAATTGGGGATAATCATTGCATCTTCCTCTTAGTGCTTTGTGAGGACAGAGTGAATTAAAGTATGTAAAGTGCTCTGAATGATGCCT